AGTTTCTGCATGTATTTACAACCTGCCCACATCAGCAAGACAACAGCAACCAGCAAAGACATGTGCTTGTCCCAGGAAAGAGCTCATGACCTATGGTCCAAAGCACAGACTTGCCCCTGCCACCATTAACACCAGGGCTCTCCCTCCATGCTGCACCACCATGGAAAAGCCTTCTCATGGACGAGGTGCAGCTGTGGCTCACCACCAGCATGCACGAGGGTATAACAATCCACAATCCCAAAGGGCTTTTGCCAATTTTAGGATCTGGATGTGCTGACAGCTAAGTAGCCCTGAGTAAAGAACAGGAGATTCCCGTACACCTTGACTGCTGTCCTGCATTGCTTCACCCCCAAGAGCTACCACAGTGCCTAAGTGCCACAAGTGTTTCTTGCGTGTGCTTTTTGGGGATCCAGCATCTACTGCTCTAAGCTGTCTGCCTGGTCCACGTGTCCAAAACCGCTGATCTGCAAGAGCAATAATATGTCTCTCCTTGGAGTTGATGGGCACCTCCTCATCCAAAATGAATAGATGCACTGTTGATTACTGAAGGGATGTGCCATACGAGGATTTAGCTAAGTGGGTTTCTTTTCTCCAGGAGCACAACAAGTCCAGTCCTGGTATCTCTTGCCAATGCTGTCAACAAGTAGGGAGATATGTTGTCTCAGAGTATTTCGTGTTGGCATGCTATATGAAAGCTTCAAAGCAATGAAAACTTTTCACCTTTTGCAGTAAACACAGTCCGCCAGCATGTACTACAATGTAATGTAGTAAACCAAAGTAATTTTGGGAGCCTTTCAAATGCTGTGAAGGAACAGCAAGCTGTGGGTGGGCTGCTCTGCTCTGTGAATGCTGCCTGTTAATACCCAGATGTCGAATGCCAACTTTCCATTCACTGCTGCAGAATAATGGAGTGTCATGCGGTAAAAATAACCATGGGAGGCATGCAACACATTCCAGCGCTTGTTTCACCTACAACACACTATCAGAAACGTGTTTGTGGAAGTTCACTGGGCATCTGTATCAATGCTATCTCAAACAATACAGTTCAGGTACGTGATTTGGAGAATAGGTTTAAGGAAAGGAAAATGCTTTTCATTCATTTTTTACTCCTCCGGTATCATTTACCCCACATCTAAGGCAGCTGCAGAAAACAGGAGATCACTTTCTCATTGTGTGACAATAGAAAAGAAACTCAGAACTGTCTGCTTTCCTCTAACACTGACCCAAGATCTTTAGGAGAACATGAAAAACTAAACTAGCTTTAAAGCTTCTCTACGACTAAGGACAGTTTGTGCTAAGAGATATCCTAAATCCATGTCTGGCTCCTCTCTGCCATTGATACAACGGTATCACCAATCTTGCATCTGGGTTTCAAACATTTAATAATGCAGCAATACCTTTCCATCCTTATCTCTACTGACAGATTTCGAGCCCGCATAAGACTCAATGAATGTTGACTAAAGGGTCCAATCTTTCTCCTAAGTCCACCGGACCAACCACTTTTTAAAAGAAACGCAAGACACAATACCAGGATTTTTAGATGGGGCAGCATAACTCTTGTTCTGAAGACTCAAGTTAGGCAAGCAGGAAAAAAAAGCTGGGACTCCAGGACCAAACTTGCTTCAACTCTGCTTACTATTCTATTTCCAGTTCACATTCTTGGATACAAAGACGTATTCTGCTGTTCATATGTTTCAAAATCTCTAAACATATTAAACTAATCCCAACTATCAAATGACCATTCTGTCTGTAATCCACTGTTACACTGTTCATGTGCCTGCATCTTGTCTTAACCGTGCACTCCCTGGTTTTTTAACTTGTATGTGCTTCTTCTACTTCTGTGTCCACTTGTTGGTAATTATCAGCATAACTGCATGATAGTATTTAATTATTTGTATTGCATTTTTTACTATGGACTGTTCTGCTTTATTTCTGTTTTTGTGATGCAGATATTTTTTCAGTTGCTTGGTATGAAGTACACAGAAATGCTGACTAATGTAGACATCCTTCTTCCAAATGCTTTTGCAGATGAGGGAGCTCATTAAATCATTACACTTACTCATGTCTAGGTTTACTCATATGCACATATCCTTGCAAGCTACTGGCTGAAGTATGAGATTTCTTGTATCATGATAACATGGGAGTCTAATAAGTAAATAGCAGTCTGTACACTCATGCATTTTTGCTGCCCTAGTTGAAATTAAACACCTCCCACACGAAGAAGAACTGGTTACACTAGCTTAAGAATAAACACTACATGCATGTGTACATCTTGCAAAACATCTGATTTTAGTGGGAAAGTCACTTAAAACTGAATTAGAAAAAACAATAGTCAGCTGAAGCATTTGTGTTATGTGCAAGGCCTTTAAGGCCATCTACAAACCCATAGCTCTACTGTTGCCCTAAGGTAGAGATATTTGTCTCTTCTGGACAGCACAGACCTACATGAGCCTACATCCTCATTTATGAACATTAGTCTGGTCTCAAACACTATCTCCTTCAGTTTTCTGCTCTAAGTGTTGCAGCTCACTCAGCTTGTCAGACCTAGTGTTTATGTCTGGCCTGCAAATAAGGATGGATATTTCTCTTGTGCCATGGCTGTTCATGTAGTAAACGAGGAAGGGACCTTCCTGAGCGCTTCAGTGTGAGCAGAAGAAATGGTGCTCTCTGCGATGACGATGGGATGCTCTCCTGCAAGAGGAAGGCGACGACTGCATGTTCCCCCTTGTTAAAGCAGGGGCAAGGGTGCTGGCTGCCAGAAGAGGTTGGACATTGGCCTTCATGGGCAAGCTTCACCTTGCTCCTAGAGCAGATGTAAAAGACTTTGCATATTTTCCAGTAGGGACAAACCCAGCACATGTGCCACAAGACTTTTCACAGATGTCTTGATACTGCAGCTGCTCTGTGCTTGTACATAGGATGCAGTGTGACTAATAAATATGCAAGATCCATGGCACAGTGGTCATACAGTCACCTGGCATCAACTCCATGGATGGTCTTGCAGTAGTTTTCTATCCTCCTGGTGAACCAGATTAGTCTGTCCTCTGTCGCCCTCATTGAGAGGGTTTGGGCTGTTTCATAGCGGTCCCATTGGATAGTGCCTAGCGCACTTCCAAAGGATCATCGGGCCCTGGCAAACATGAACATACGAACAGTCCCCCAGTAATCCTACCCTCTGATTCTCTCCTGGGAATGCAGAGGGGAAATATGGTGCACAGGCAGCAGAAAAATCCTTCCAGGATGAGTTCATTCTACCTTACTCCTCCAGATAACGTGCTTGACATCTTCTCTCTTCTTCTTAGCCCTTCTACAGCCCTTTACCTTCTCAGCCTATCTTGATGGGCTCTGGATGTGTCATGTTTTCATGGATGTAAATTGCATTTAGACTAATGACCTCAACCTCTACTGTCTTATCTCTACAGTTCAGGTGTAAGATTTTCTCATGTAAATTAAAACACTTTTTTACTGTCTTTGGAGTTCCCTTAGAAAGATAACAGGGAAGTTAAGCATGCTAGTGAGGCTGTCAAACGAATGTCCTCTCAACTCAGGAGCAAGCAGCTGACCTGCCATTTGACGGGTGGGCACAGCAGAAGAGAGCTCCGTTACTTCCAGATATTCAAAGATTTTATTTCACAGCTGCAGTTAAGGAAGAAAAAAACCAAACCACAGGGGCAAAGGTTTTACACAGACCTTCATTCTACACTTTGGACTAATTAAGCAAAGCAGGTTTCAGTGGTGGTACTCACATAGCTAAAATTAAGCACATGCTGATGTACTTTGCTGGATGGGATCAGAGCACTTAGCACCTTACAGCATTCAGCACTAGATGAAATATGAATTACAGTACGTATTTCTGAAGTTCAGTCCATATATTCTTTCCATCTACTGCATTAATTTATGGAGTGAAACATCAAGTAGCATATGAAATCTAAAAAAAAAAAGATTTCTTGACCTGTGTTACCACAGATGTAAAAGAACAATATACATTCTCAGATGAGTTTTAATTAATAGGAATCACAAGACAGAGACCAGTAGTATGAGACAACTCTTACATTTATGTTCATCTGCTACTTCCACACAGAAGCCATTTAGTGTCATCCAAGCTCAAGGTGGGTCTGCTTGTGTATATCCCCAAAGAAACATTCTCAGTGTTTTCTCCAACAAATTTCACAAGAAACCTGGCATAAGGCAAATTGAGTTCACCAGATGCTAGGCTAATACCTCAATCCTTGGACTGTTGGTCCTATTTGCTTTTTTCTGTCACTTACATGCCTCAGCTGACACATTTGTAAAAGCTATGGTGCCAAATTTGACCAACTTTTGCCAATTTTCTGCCAGCTGAAAAAACTCTAAATTCACATAGCCTAAATGGCAGAAGAAGCAGCTCTGGAATTTGTTCTGTGAAGGATAAAACCATTTTCCTTATAAGCTTTAGAGCCCACTGTTTGTAGCAGAACAAAGGAAAACACAAAAAAGAGGACAAACATCAACTCAGACTGCAATGGGAAACTGGTAGAAGGAAATAATTCTAACGCCCAAACCTTGCTTCTAAAAGCAGTAGTTATTTGATCTGCTGGTGGCATCTGCTGTTGCATTTCGAAAAGTCATTTGCACCAGTGAAAAGTGAGTGCAAAAGAGTGCCGCCCCTCTTTGAACTCCTGTTGGCTGTAGGAGGTGTAAAGCAATGGAGAATCTTTTGAGTGTTGACTGAGTCATACACGTGCATCTGAAGGGGGAACTCAGCCCTTGTTTTAGCTCCTTTGTGAGAGAAATCCCTCCAAGTCCATTTAACACAAAGATACCACGATGGCTCTACCTTGCAAAGCATGGACATCTGGCAGACAAATTGTGGGCACATTTGGCTGTATGTGCTTACCTCTTACACTCTTCCCTTGGCAGCTGCTATCAGCTGCTGCCGGAGATGGGGACCTGGGTGAGGAAAGTCTCTACCCTTAATGGAGTGACTGCTCTTAGGCAAAGCAAAGGGAAACTGTCCCTACCTGTGTATGTTTTCTTCCAGCTTTTTCACCTTCAGCTCATCCTCTTCTGACTGCCTCCTTCTGGCTTCTTCCTCTTCTGCGGAGCCAGCAGATTTTCCCGAAGAGCTTTTGACTGTAAGGTAAAAAAACCCAAACCTTAGGAAGAGACTGAACAAAAACCATCTGAAGATTGAGAAGGAGCTGCCTCTGCTTCTGAATATTAGATTGTCCCCATTGAATTTCTGATTACTGCTTTAGACAGTTGATTTCAGGCAATCCATCAGCTCTTTATCCAGATGTGAGGTCTTGCAGATGTAGGAGCGTCAGTTTTACAGTATACACTTTATTTACTATCAATGCCTTAATATGAAGTTATTTTTAGTTCCTAATAAAAAGAAGAGTTTAAACCACTCAAATTAGCTAGTCCTGGAAGAACTAAAATTTTTGAATGGAAGTGTGGATCTCTTGTGAATGAGAAGGCATGTACTGAAAGGACTAAAATCATAAACTTCTTAAAGCTTCAAAAACAAAAGAGCAGCGTGCTCTAAATGTAATGTGTTTCATGAAGGATAAAATCAATCTGCTACTGAATCAATCAAAGATGTTCTTTTTGATTTATACCACGGATGTGTCTCCATACATTTACAGGCATACAGACAGACACACATATACATTCACACAAGCACACACATTACCTCTTAGCCAGACACAAATTAAAAAAATGAACAAAAGTCTTCCAGAAACAATGGGTAGCCCAGGGCACAGAAACACTGTCGCAGAAAGCAGCAATAGCCTACACCCAGCAGAAGAATTCCTGGGAGTTTTGCTGTGTTTTCTACACCAAAAACATGGCTACAACCTCTGCTGGCCACTGTCTAATCCAGCTGCACCTCACCCAAGGGAGTTCACCAGTGGAGATGCACTGGCTGCAAGCAATTCTTTAAATAGCCCATCAGTCTGTGTGTCTTGTTTGGCCCCAATACTGCCAGAGGGATGCGGCAGATCAGTTGGCAGACAGGACAAGCACCCATTGAAAGGAAGATCAGGAGCCCAAAGCCACGCAGGACTTTGCCCCTTGGCAAGAAGGAAATGCAGCTGGTGGAAAAAGCGGTCAGCCAAGGGACCGACCAAACTAGCCCCTTGCATTGATCAGAAAAGGGGAGCCTTGGTTCTGAATTCGCAAAGCGACTGGCAATGCTAGTTCGAGAAACCAGCTGTGAGAGCGTGTATCCTCTCCAGCAAAGAGGAGCTAATAAGGAAATCATCAGTTCAAAGAAATTGGATTTCAGAGGCTGCCCAAATGTTCAGTATTAGTCTTTTCAATGACATGTTTGTCGCTGGAATGGAACCTGACTTGTGCAAACTATGTATAAAGGAAAAACATTCATCACCAAAAGCAGGCTTCAAACCCAGCCCAAAATAGAAAGATTTTTGACATGACAGACAAGCCTTACTTGTAGTTTTTGAGTGTATATATAGACATAGTATGCACAAACTATTCTTGTCACTCCACAGCCTATTTGACATCAGGCAATTAGATTTTAATAAGGCAGCAGACAGAAAGCAATACAACACACACAAGAGAATTAGACTTTATAAATGACTCCAGCTTTCACTGAGTTTAACTGTGCTGTGCACCAGAGGACTTCTAGGTAGGTTTTAAGTGATTTCTGTATGAATTAGGACTTCTGCATGACAGAAAAGGTCTTGTGCTCTTCTACCACGTAGTCATGTCCAACAGTTGGACCCGCTGACGCTGGAGGAGTACTTTACCCAGCTGAACTCAGCTTTGCTTATGGCCTCCAAGATATTTTGTGCAGCTTTTGTTTTGGTCTTTGTTTATGCGAAACATTTAAGCTACAAAATCACATGATTTCCTTCTCCCAGAAGCCTCTTTTTTTGACCTATTAATAGCACAAATTTGAAACTGGAAAGCATCAATGGGATTTTTTAAAAGACATATTTAGAGACAAGAATGCTATGATCTGCTAAAAATCCTCTCTCTTGGGTGAAATGTCAGCATATTTTATCTAAAACAGGAAAGCTGGTAGCTTTGATGTTTTTGTCTCTCCTTTTTAAGATTAAAATTAACGCATTTGTTAAATACTACACTGAGGAATCCAGACAAGAAGACTCTGAGAAATGGAAACATTTATAAGAAGCATTTCTTAAAATTCAGAAGCTATTTGCCAAGCTGTTGAGGTTATGTGTATGTATACACCCACTGCAAATACAATAGGCAAACAGGCAGGCACACGTCAGGGGACCATGCGCAACCATCTCACTGTCCAGGAAACTTTTCCTCCCCTGCCAGAAGACTGGCATGCTGCTGAGGCGGTGGGTAGGGGTGGAAAAATCTCTCACCTGCTTTGAGCAAACCTTTCCCAGGGCGTTTTGATCAGAAACCTGGGGGGAAGGCTTTGGCACACATGACAAGACAAGGGTGGGTCAGGCACAATAGGGAGGTGGTGGTAGAGCTGCGCTGGGTGCTTGGGCACAGTGCCTGGGTATGAGACAGTCCAGTGAGACAGTCAGCATCAAGGCAGTCCAGCCAGATGCAAACCAGAGCCAGATGTGGCTTGGAAACAAAAGACAGTTTGCGGCCATCTGTCCTCCACAGCTACGAAATTTGGGTTATGCTTCTTGAAAAGATCTTGCAAAATCTTATCCCAGGAAGAATAGGAGGTGTTTCTCAAATCTGCTAAAAGGAGAATGCTTCCATGAGGATGGAGCCCCAAAATAGCTAGCTGTACGAATTACCCCTGCTTAACAATGTTGTTGTGCATTTGCTTTACTTAACAGTCTGTGATTAAAATGGCCACAAGCTACTATTTCAGCATTGCTCCTCCTTCATTGTCTGTTACGAGTTTTAACTCTCTACTGCATCTTGGAGCTTCTTTATGCACGAAAGTTGTGGTGTATGATTAGACATTGTCAAAATGATAGAGGGCTCCAAGAGCGGCCAGATATACTATTGTAAAAATGTGGTATTTGTACAGCTCATTCCAAGACTGGAATGTGAATATGCTGAACTTTCAGAAGGCACCATTTCACTGGTACAACAGCTATGCTGCGTACAGTTTGCTATAAGTATTCCTTCATTTACTGCAAGAGTGCAATATCTTCAGGGCTAAATCCTTCAGCAGAAATTAGATCATGTCATTAAAAAGGCTCTCTATTACTGAAGTGGAAAGGGCACTGGGCTTGTGATGCTCTAGGTCACCACTGCTCTCAGGTGACTTGGTTTCTCTCCACACAAGTGAGATTGCAGAGATAACTGGCAGCTCCATGTTTATTTTGTTCAAGTGTAGGAAAGAAGAGTGACTTTTCTGCACCATGCAAAAAAGGAAAAAACTAGGTCACGATTCTGTGAACAGATCATGGTGAGGACAGAAATGAGTGAACAGATGTTGGACAGGACAGAAAGAAATCATGCCAAATGTTTAAATGCAGTAGGCACAGTGAGGGCCGTAAGTGTGGTGCACAGCTCCCTTACGTGCTATTTATTCCAGTTTCATGCTTCAGGACAGTAAAGCCCGAGGGCTTTAAGTTGTTTACATTTAGTGCTAGCAAGGAAATAATGCATAGGCCCTCAAATGCACATAGTAGAATTAATGCTGTATTGAAAAGAAAATCTTTACTTTCAGTGCTGCATTTTGCTTTAATGTTGCATCAAAAGTTTAAGTATTGGGGGACATTTTATTATAGCAAGTAAATTTTTTTAGCACCATTTTCATATACCATTATGCCCATTACATGCTACCTGTGGACTCCCTGCTTGTGAAAGGTAATTAATTCTACCCATCAGTCTTGCTGATTTCGGACCTACTTCCATAAACATTGCTCATAAAGAATAACACATTTCCAGTCCCCCATGAAGTGTGGCAGTGTCTTAACCTGAGGCCCAGATGCATTTGCCAGATTTGCCATTTGACTCTTTAGGACAATGTAAAAGCCAGTTCTTGCTGTGCTGCTACCTTTTGAGGTAGTCTCTTCAAGCAGTTTTGGGGTTTTTTTGTGTTTACAAGTGGTTAGAGGGGCAATCAGTACTATCTCTCCTTGAGAGCAGTGCTTGCTGAAATGGAGCACTCCTCTGGCTGCTGAGTAATTTTCGAGGAAGCTGATAATCCCGAGGAGAAACACAGGTCAAAAGTTGACCCAAGACAGCCTCCTCCAGTAAAATGTGCCTGTTCTTGAGAAACACTACTGGATGTGGACTATTCAGGGTAATGATGCTCTTCTGTGCTGTGCAAAATGGGCAATAATGATCCCTGGTGTAATTCCACTGAAATCAGTTGTGCTATATGAAAGGCACTTTTACTGAAATCTTTGCCAAATTGAAGTTTTGCCAAAAGTCTTTCGGTTTTGAGGCTTGACGACCACCAGACATTAACAATTTAGAGCTGGAATTATTTATTATTATGAAATTATTTTCTCCCTATATGCATTCAGTATTTCTGTCCTGGAAAAAAGGTGAATGCAGGAGGTTGGTTCCTCATATTCTTAAATCTGCATATAACCAGCCCATGCCCTACTGAAAGAGTGCAATAAACCTCTTCCTTTGCCTGGCAGTGTGAGTCAGATATTAGCCCCGAACACTGCCATTAGGACGCTAGCATAACTGGCTGCATTTCAGATTTGCTCTTTGCATTTCAGAAAAACTCCCTTGGTACAAAAAGGTTGAGTTTTCCAGGCAGATCTGGAGCTCTAGAAGCAGCAACAAGCCCGGCTTTGCTGTTCGGCAGCTACCTGGAGCCGCCATCCCAGGGACTGCAGCTTTGTCAGCCAGCGGATCAGCTACAAGAGGGAGGGATTCCTGGAGCAGCAGAGCCTGCTCTGCCTGTGCACGCTCCCAAGCATCTGCCCGGGTTGATAAAACTGAGTTTGCAAGGAACACAAATGCAAGAATGACCACCACTAAAACTCCTCTGGATTCCTCCCTTTTCCTTTCTACCCCGTTCCCGTGGCTGCTCCGAACACTGCATCTCTTGCTTGCCATATTTTTAGGCAGCTTCCTCTGCCGTCCAGCTGGCCCTAACCCAGCTACTGCAGGTTACCTGGCAGGTCTGGGCCTGACCTGCTGGTGTGCAGCACAATTGCCAGCATTAGCAAAGAGGTTACTGGGACGTGTAC